AAAAATGGGTTGGTCAAAAATATTAGCCCCCAGGCCATTAATAGTCAATAGTGTACCCTTTCTGAGCCACAACTGACAACAAGCTCTTAGAGTAGTTCTTTACTAGGTTGGCACAGGTCTCTTGAGGGATGTCGGCCCATTCTTCCATTGCAGATTGTTCCAGCTGGTCCAAATTGCGTGGTTTCCGAGCATGGACATTCACTTTGAGCACCGGCTTGATTCTCAATAGGATTCAGAACTTGGCTCTGTGCGGGCCACTCCAGCACCTTGGTGTTGGTGTCCTTTAGGAACTGTTGGACCAAGTTTGATGTGTGCTTTGGGTCATTGTCTTGTTGGAAGACCCAGCGACGACCTAAGCGAAGACTAAGAGCAGATTTTTTCATATTATCCCTCAAAATGGAAACATAATTTAGATTTGTCATGATGCCTTGCACCCGAACAAGTCTCCCTGTGCCTCAGGCTGCAGCCCCACAGCATGATGTGTTCTTAGGGTGGAAGGCCTCTCCCTTTCTTCGCCAAACATAAGCAACATCCATGTGCCCAAACAGTTCCAGTTTAGTCTCATCAGACCAAAGCACAGACTTCCAAAATTCATCTTTACCTTTCAAATGTTCACGGGCAAACCTCAGTCTGGCTCTGATGTGCCGCTCTTTGAGTAAAGGGGTTCTTCTGGGACGATGGCCCTGAAGCCCACCACAATGAATAGCCCTCACAACTGTGTTCCTTGAAACATCAACTCCAGAAGAGGCCAGGTCATCAACAATCATCTTGGCAGATGCCCGGGGATGCTTGCTGACATCTCTGACTATTTTCCTCTCCAGAGTTCTTGAAACCTTGCGCTTTCGACCACGCCCAGGTTTGTTTCTTACAGAATTTGTCTCCTTGTACTTCGCAATGATGCAACGTACAGCCGCTCTAGACACTGTGAAGCGCTTGGACATAGCAGTATAGCCTTCCCCCTTATCATGAGCCTCCACTATCTTCTTTCTGAGCTCAAGGCTGATTTCCTTTGACCTTGGCATGGTGAGTAGGAGTAGTAGTATAGTCCCTCTCTATAAGGTATCAGACTGCCTGTTTCTTGGAGTCCTTTTATGCTGATTGAATGCTCAGCTGTGGCTTGAAAGCTGATTGATTGATTAGGTGTGTTTTGAAAGCAACATTTCACATGGGGGCTAATATTTTTGACCAACCCATTTTTCACTATATATATAAAGCAAGCCTAAAAACTTATTTTATTTTCCAAAATGTACCATAAGCTACTAAATAGCACTGGTGAATGTTTAATTATATCAAGTTTTATCAATGCTGGAAACATTGGGAAGAATTTTAGGAAAACGTTCCATAATCAACACCATCCACCTGCAACTGGCTGCATCTAGCACCTCCAAAGACGACCCACAGTGGCTGAGCTCCACCAGTCACCAGCTAATCCCCACCCTGTCCAATTTTTCGACAGCTACTGAGTTCTCCATCACTGAGCTCATCCGTAAATCCAAACCTACTACGTGTCAGCTTGACCCACTCCCCACTGCCCTCGTTAAAGCCTGTCTGCCCTCTACTTGCCCCTTGATCACAAGAATCATTAACTCGTCCCTCGCAACTGGAACTGTACCGCCAAACCTCAAAACTGCTGCAATAACACCAACACTCAAAAAACCTGGAGCTGACCGAGATGACCTGAATAACTACAGGCCCATCTCTAACCTCTCCTTCATCTCAAAAACCCTTGAAAGAGTGGTTGCTGACCAACTTCAACAACACCTGGACAAAAACAACCTTCATGAACCCTTCCAATCGGGTTTCCGCTCAAAGCACAGCACCGAAACAGCGCTGGTAAAAATCACCAACGACCTCCTCCGTGCAGCTGACTCTGGACTGCTCACCATCCTAATCCTCCTTAACCTCACAGCTGCCTTTGACACCATCTCACACCCACTGCTTATCAAACGCTTAGCAGACATTGGGATCACTGGTACTGCACTCTCATGGTTTTCATCCTACCTCACAGACAGAAAACAATATGTCCGTCTCAGCACCCACCGGTCAAGCTGCTCCACTGTCTCACATGGTGTTCCCCAGGGGTCAGTATTGGGTCCACTCCTGTTTATTATCTACCTACTCCCCCTTGGCACTATCCTCCGTCATCATAATGTCAATTTCCACTGTTACGCCGATGATACACAGGTCTACATTTCCAGCAAACCCAACACTACCCTCCCCCAAACCTCTCTCACCAACTGCCTCCAGGACATCTGGAACTGGATGAGCAGGAACTTCCTAAAACTCAACGGCAGCAAAACCGAAGCCCTGCTGGTTTGCACCAAAAGCACCCTCTCCAAAACCTCATCCTCCCCTGCCTCCAACCTCATCATTGATGGCTACTCCATCCCCTTCTCTGGCCAAGTTAAGAGCCTTGGTGTCATCCTGGACAGCTCCCTCTCATTTTCACCTCACATAAATAACATCACCCGGACTGCCTTCTTCCACATACGCAACATCTCCAGACTCCGCCCATCCCTTTCTCAATCAAACACTGAAATCCTGGTCAATGCATTTGTCACGTCCCGCATCGACTACTGTAACGCCATCCTCTCAGGCATACCCACCAAGCTCATCAACAAACTACAAATCATACAGAACTCTGCAGCCCGGATCCTCACCGGCACCAAGGCCTCAGAACACATCACCCCCATCCTCATCCAACTCCACTGGCTCCCTGTTCAATCACGCATCAACTTCAAAAACCTACTGCTCACTTACAAAGCCCTACATAACCTGCCCCCCCCCTATCTGGCTGACCTTCTTCAGGAGTACACCCCCTCTCGCTCCCTCCGCTCCTCCTCTGCTGGTCTGCTAACCGTCCCCACCCCACGCCTCGTCACCATGGGTGCTCAGGCCTTTAGCTGCACTGCTCCCAGACTCTGGAACTCCCTCCCCCCGCACATCCGACAGTCAGACACAATCACCACATTCAAATCCCAATTAAAAACCCACCTGTTCAGATCTGCCTACTCACTGCAGTGCTCCCCATTATATGTTTCATTTGTGTCCACTTGACTGTCTCCTCCATGATTTCCTGTTTGTGTTTTTATCATGTTCTGTTGCCTATTAGCGTTTTCTTTATTTTCTTTATTTTTAATTTTTTAACAAATTGTACGGTGTCCTTGGGTGTCATGAAAGGCGCCTAAAAATAAAATGTATTATTATAATTTCTGGGGGGCTAATAATTTAGGCCTCAACTGTAGGTAGGTAGGTAGGTAGGTAGGTAGGTAGGTAGGTAGGTAGGTAGGTAGGTAGGGAGGGAGGGAGGGAGGTAGGTAGGTAGGTAGGTAGGTAGGTAGGTAGGTAGGTAGGTAGGTAGGTAGGTAGGTAGGTAGGTAGGTAGGTAGGTAGGTAGGTAGGTAGGTAGGTAGGTAGGTAGGGAGGTAGGTAGGTAGGTAGGTAGGTAGGGAGGTAGGGAGGTAGGGAGGTAGGGAGGTAGGGAGGTACTGTAGTCCATACCGTGTTCCGTTTAGTGTTCACTTCCTGTCTGTATTCGTTACTTATCTGACGTCCAGCGCGCCGTCTGTGAACCTCTTTTCCTTTCTCTCTCTTGATCCTCCTTCGGTCGTTATAGTGCTTGACAGCGGTCTGTACTACTGGATTAACCTGGCACATGTTCCAAATTGACTGATCAGAATCGAGTTTTCAACTAAGCTGTGTAATGATTAACAATAATCATAAACTGTAACAAGATTCACGCAGGAATCACCAAATGTAACAAAGCTCCCAGAGGCTCTGGAGTGATCAGCAGGCACAGGTCAGAGAGCGAGAAGGCTTCCTGGATTGCCTCCTTTACGACTGGCTCTGGCTGCTAATAGGCCAGCTGAGGGTGAGGGGATCCAATCAGCAGTCGGTCTGAGGTGCCCAGGCAGGTACTGATCAGCTGTTGATTACCTGGAGTGAAGAAAGGGGGAGAAGAGAGAAGAGCAGAGGCCTGTACTACGAATCCAGTTCAACATACCATGGATATGTTTGAGTTACCCGGCTTACCTAATCCAAAACAAACAACTTTATCCTGTAATATGACTTGATAGCTTTAAACTCCGCACACTGAGCTCTGATTGGTCAGCAGGCGGTGCTTTCACTGAGTTGATCTCTTAGCCTGGAAACTAACCTGCTCCGGACCAGGTTAGCCGCTCAGCATAAGTTACCATGGAGATCTACCCCGGTAAGAAGAGAACCAGCGTCGTAGGACCAAACAAACAAGCAGAGCCTGCCTGGCACGTAACGGTAGACTAAGGTCCTTACATTTTAAACCTTCCTCTTGTTTCTGGAAATAAACCCTCCCACACAGCAGCTGTGAGTAAACACTGTGTGTGTGTGTGTGTGTGTGTGTGTGTGTATGTGTGTGTGTGTGTGTGTGTGTGTTGGGGAAAAGACGATAAAAGCAAGATTTTTTTTACAATTCGACCACAACCACGGTGTATAACATCACCTCCACATGCGACTGACAGTTTGAGAAAAGTATTCTCAGTATTCTGAAAAAAGGCAGAATTCAGTAAATTCAGAATTATAAGAAAAAAGTCCGATGTTTGAGAACAATTGCAGAATTTATACTTTTCCAGAATCCTGAGGAAAAAGGAAGATTCTGAAAAAAGTCTGAATTTTGAGGGGGAAAAAAGCAGAATCCGGAAAAATGTCAAAATTGGAAAAAAAGTAAGAAAGTCAGACATTTTAGAAAAAAATATGAATCTAAAAAAGAATCTGAGAAAAAAGTCAAATCTAGAAAAATTACAGATTTTTTAAGGAAACACTCAGAATTATTAGAAATTTGGAGAATATGTCAACATTTTTAAGAAGAAAGTCAGATCTGTCAGGGAAAATGTCAGAATTTTGAGAATTGATTTAATAATTAGGTGTAAAAACTCATCTCCACATGCGACTCACAGTTCACAACAACAGAGTTCACATTTTTGTCAGCTTTCAGTTCTCCGAGGAAGAAACACGAGGAGACAGAAGATGGAGAGCTCAGCGTTTTAATGTACCGGTTGGGTTGTGAAAGCAACACGGACAGTTTGAGTTCAGAGGAGAGGGCGAGCTCACAGGAGGCTCACTAAACTGAAGTCGAGATGTGAGCGGTGAAATAAAGTCATTTCTTTCTTCTGACAGTCTCAAAGAGCAGCGGTTCAAAGTGAGCAGCGGCCAGGAGTCCATCTCGTTTCTCCTGGCCTTCACACGGCCTGTTTGTCAGCCGCAGATTCATCCCCGTGTGAAAGAGACGACACAAAAACACGTCTTCCTCTTCCAGGGCACTCCGTGGATTCTTCATCAGCTTGTTTTTCCACCTGGAGGGAGGAGAAAGAGTTTAACTTCCTCACACAGGAACAGAAAGACAGGAGTATACAAGTCCAAAGTCCTTCATCCCAAAGAGAGGTTTGTATATCAGCCACAGAGAGGTTTGTATATCAGCCACAGAGAGGTTTGTATATCAGCCACAGAGAGGTTTGTATATCAGCCACAGAGAGGTTTGTATATCAGCCACAGAGAGGTTTGTATATCAGCCACAGAGAGGTTACTGAGAGCGATCGTTAGTGCTCTCAAAGTCAACTTTAAGGCCAATCTTTCAGTTTGTGTGTACAGAGAGATCGAAATACCTTTTCCCACAATCCAATACAAAAAAAATATATATATAAAAATATGTATAAAATATGTATATATATATATAAAAAGACACATTTATACATATGCACACAATAAGACCTACATAAA